GTAACTGTGAAAAGTGCTACTTTTTAGCTTGACTTAACCATAAGATTGCATAACACGTTTCTTTGATAATATCAAATAAGTCTTTTTCAATTCGCTGGTATTTTGTTTAAGCGAAAGCGAACAAGCCTGTGTTCATTGGAATTGAAGTAGACAAAGCTGGAAGTGGTACGTTTGGTCGTCTGAATTCTGATAAAAGTTTTTGTCCGTACAGAAATTGGATTCCAAACAAAAAGATAAATAGAGCAATTAACTTAGGATGTGCTTTGTTACGACCAGATCGATTCTGGGAGCCTTTCAATTGTCTTGGTGCAAAAAAGAGTAGTTTCTTTTGCTCTTATAGATGTACGAGTTATAAAGAATAAAATTAAGGTACGATATGTACGCATATGTAATAAAATTACGCTACAACGATTTCTTTGTACTTTTAAGGGTTTTTCCTGTGTACACAATTCTAAAATTAGCAGATGAGTTATAATTCTAAACGTTTTGAGCAGTAAAGTTTGGATTTCTTGTACTAGTTGCAGTAGGAAAGTGATTACCATAATAGATTTTTGCCTGATTTCGTTACCGTACTCTTAGTAAGCTACGCACAGAACCAGCAAGAAAACGAATCTTGTATTTTGCATTATAAATTTAAACAGTGTTTATAAGTCCCTCTTTAACATCAAGGCTGGTTGAGGATTAACCAGCGTTGAAGCAATGTAGATGAGAACCAAGACTAGAACAAATTTTTCTAGATTTATAGTTTTTTGAAAAATCTGTCAAAACAGTCTGTAACGCAAAAAACTCAAGGTTCTTATAAAAAATTTATTTTAAACAATGATGACGTTGCCCAGCCTCTAGCAGACTGCGACTCCCGAAAACCCATTTTACTTCATCCCGCACTGCGAAACCGTCAAATTAAAAGGTTGCATATTCCCCTTTCAGAATGCGCCAACTTTGGACAGACAGGTATCTTCGTGGGATGACGCAAAGGTTAACAGCTATCTTCTTCAGGTAATAAATAAGTGCTGCTATCTACAAAAACATATTTTTCAACCATACCAAAAAGACTCTCATTTTTTTGTTTTTCTGGCCAGACTGTTTAATCCTCTCAAAAACCTGAACTAGCAATTTCAACTCATAAATTCTCAGCATTATTATTTTAGAATAAAGTAGAATTTTGTAAAAACAGCTGACCACTGCGTCCTGTTAATATAACTGCAAAAAATAATTTGAAATAATGATACAAAACCAGAACTTCTTTATTTATTATTTGTTGACAATATTTTTACAAAACAAAAACAGTGAGATTTGAAGTCGCTACTTCAAAAGCATTATGAGTCTGATAATTTCAACGTCACCAACAAAAAGTATTACATCCACTTCCCGTTCAACAGCTAAAAAGCGACCATCAAAAAAGATTATAGAGAGGAAAAGAACAATTGAGGTATCACCAAAGTAGATTGTGGCGACTGCCAATAAACAGTTAAAAAATCACTTGTACGTTCTAAGCACGACGGTATATTAAGCCATTATTTTTGACAAGTTATTCGCTTGACTGTACAGTACTCACTCAGAAAAAGTAAAGGTCATTTGTCGAAGCCGTAGGTCAGATTAGTTTGCCAATTTGATAACTTTTGATGTCAAATATTTTAGTGTCATAATCAATGCATATTAACTTGAGAATCCATCAACAATTATATAATTCTATTTGGAATGTCAACAGTTTATAGTTGATGTATTAGTAAAAAAAGCTTGTCAATCACTATTCATACTTAGCGTTCGCGTGCGGCGTTCACTGCTATCTTTCACTGTCATCTTTCACTACGACCTCATACATCGCTTCCTCAGGAGGGAAATAATAAGGATTTTCTTGAACCTCTCGTACTACCTTCCATAGCTTCATATAAGCAAGAATAGCAGCTAACACGATAACAACAATCAAGAAGAGCGCAACAGAGACGACCACAAGCAAAACCGTCGCTGAATGAAAATGCACTTTTTTTAAACTCTCCAGCAAAAAAAAAACAAGAATTTAGAAAAGTAAATAAGCTACAGTCAGTAGTCATTTATCATTCGGCAGATATATTCACAAAAAAAAAAACAGCATTATAATTTTAGACCGTTACTTTAAAAGTGTTATAAGTTTGATAAGCTCAACGTTATAAAAATTTATTATGTCTACCTACTGTTTAATGACTGTAAAATGGTCGCAGAAAAGAGCTATCGAGAAGCTTCTTGTTTAACTAGTTGTAATTGCTCAAAATGCTAGTACAGCCAATATTCTAGATAAACAGTGCTCAACTTTGCAGAGGTAATAAGAACAAGTATATTTGTTAAAATGATAAAATTTCTAAACGAAAAAATAGTTAAGAAAATAAAAAAACTTAAAAACTTAATTACAGCGATGCAGATATCTATAGTTTACTACTGTTTTTTCTACAAAAAGTTTAAATTTGTTATCAGTTGAGCAGTCTAAATTTCGTAATAAATTTGCTAAACCATTTACGGCTTAAACGACAAAAAGTAAAAAAAAGCCAATAAAGACTTTTAGTTGCAATAATAAAAATATAAATATATTCCAGAACATTATCAATTTAAAAATCAGTTGCCTACTTATGTCGCTAAAAAAGCCTTCACTTCCTTTTTGGAACGCCTAAAAATCAGCAATTTGAGAAGTTTTAGTGGATGAACAAATGCATTTTTTGATATATATTTATCCTATATTAACGACCACAAAGTTATACTACAGTTAATTCAGTATTGCCTAAGGAAATAGCGGTTATTCATAATTAATTGGTCGTTTTACTTATAAAAATCTTTTTTTGTAAGCCAAACACAACTTATTCCAAAAAAACTTTCCGTTTTCGGTGCTACTGTTGTTACATGGTTTACTCGACAGTAGAAGAGCATTGACGGAAGATTGGTGCAATCATAATTCACGATGTTGACTAAAACATAAAAAAAGAAAATTACGTGTACAGTGAGAAAACTTTGTCAAACCGTTTTATATTCCGTAGCAAGCATTTAATCATACTGCAATATACTGCGTTGAAAAGGGGACTGAGATCAAACAAAATTCCTCTAACTGCGCTTCACTGTTCTAAGCACCTACTGTTTAATATAGGAATGTAGGAAAGAAGTACCAAAAAGCAGTTCGTGCTAGTTTTCTAAAAGAAAGTCATAAATTTCTTTTTGGCCCAAAACCAAAACTCTTTGGATATTTTTATTTGAGAGTTTTTTGTACGCTTTTTTGATTTACAGCTGTACGAACCAGAAAATATTCCAACAAAGTTTTTATTGGTTCCGTACAAGAGTATTGGAAACAAATACTTCAAAAAACGTGCTGAAATAAGCGAAGTAAAGCAGACCAAAATGCTTAGCTCTTGGAAGCAGTGTTAGTTTATCAAACCCTATCTACGTAAAGTGAGTTTATCCTTTTCACAATTATAAATCAGTTTTTTCACGCATATATATAAAACAATAATTTTTCAAGAACTTGACAACCCAAGTCGAGGAAACTTTATAACACTATGAAAAATCGCTTTTCTGCTAAGCAAACGGTAGAAAAATTATGTCAACAGATGCAAAAAACACTCGTAAATCACTAAAAATTCTTGATGAAAAAAGCAGAAACTTCGAAACGTTGAAGAAGTATAGTAGGCAAAAAAGCTGTAAAAAACTTACTTTCAGTAACCTGACCGAAAGCTTGAGCAGCATGAACAAAGTAACACTGCCCCGCTTCGTGCTCTCCTTGAATAATTAATTTTCTTATGTTTTCTTTTAAGGGGGTACCATCGGTAAATTCTTTTAAATCGGATTTTGTTCCATCCAAACCGAGGGGAATAAACTGATGAGAGAGCGCATAATTGTTAACCTTTTTTTCCAATATAATTTCTATAATGATTATTTTTGACAATTTTTTATTACCTATACTTTTATTCAACAGGTTATCATTAACGTCGACAATGAATCAACTTTAAATTTGTTAAACTAATCATTATTTAATTGAAAAAAATGTTTCTCTGTTACGTCGCTTTGTTGTTGCCAATTTTTAGCAGCAACTAATTTGAAAGATAGCAAAAAAAAGTAAAACTACTGATCGCAGAACTAAAATGCAATTGATACTTTGTAAAGAAAATACTGCAAATAAGTGTTTTTTAGAAACAGTATAAAAATTTTAAAAAAACTTCAAGCAATTTTTTAGATATATGCATATTTAAAAAATAAACTCAACTAAATATTAAATTACAAACTTTTCATAGCTTCATACTCAACAACGTCTGCAATTGATAACAAATGAGATCCCTCTTGAAGCAGATTACATGACAATTCCATTTCTCTGAAGCTGACTGCTGGTAACTGAAAATAAAGCAGTCTTAAACAAAATAGTAACAGTGTAATAGAAGTTACACTAATAAAATTGCCACTAATTTTTTCCCATTCTTTGTATAACAGAAATACAGTTTGCTGAGAAAAAAAAAACTGCAGTTTTCATCATGTAATATACCTTAAAGACAAACATAGGAATACGAGTACTGACTGAATTGTTACTGTCACTAAAGCTCTGTGTAGTAGAAAAAATAAGGCAAAAAAGAAAAAAAAAAAACACCAACATAATAACGTTTCCAACAGTACCAAATTTTAGTACCGTTCGATGTAATACGGTTTACCAGATAAGAATTGTCACGCAAATGCGGCTCATAGCAATTGCTTGAACTATTTATGACTGAAAAAAAAGTACAGTTAGTAACGAGTAAAAAAAAAAAACATTAAGGAAAGTAAAAATATTTTTTCTTGGTTAACTTTTGTAAAATATATTTGATAGAAATTAGCAATAAAAAATAGAATATGATAAAATTAAATCTTACCTTCTTTAAGTCCTAGTTCTTCTTTCTGTAACAAGTTCTTTAGAACATCAGATCGAAAAAAAAAAGTCCATTAACATTTATTGTTCGATAAAAAATGCTGTTAGTTTATGTTTGGCTTTACTTTTAACTTCAAAAAATTTTACTTAAAAAAATATATTTGAATGTGAGAAAATAAATAAACTGAAAATAATTGTTGCAAATAGAATTTTTTTCGCAAAGCAATTCTTGCGCAAATTATCTGAACCGAAAAAAAAAAATGTTTGTGAACAAAATATTAAAGTAATAAAGATAAAAAGATTTTTAGGGTTTTTTATTCGACAAACACTTACCGGTGCTTTTTTAACCCAACCTTTACAAAGAAGGTGTTTAAACATTCCCGTAGATTCTGCATCTGTAACAGTTGCAAATTGTTAAAGAGAAGCAGAAATTTTCTATTTTATTCTGATAAGTAATAAATTAAAAAAATTAAATCAATAGAAACATTCATTCTCCTCTAAAAACAAAAATATTATCAAAAACGAAACAAGCAAAAATGGCAGGTTTATTAAAGAGTAAAAATTTAATTTACCAAAGTATATATTATATGTTAAAGTTTTTGTTTTTACTTCATTTAATGACAATAAATGTAAATAAAAATTGTGCTTTTTTTTGCTGATTGCTGGTAATAACTTTCCATCTGTTCCAATTTCTACAATTTTTTTTAGGACTTATGTATATATACTTTTATTTTCGATAGAAAAAAAAAAACCAATTGCTATTGCCTGATCTAAGCAGTTACCAAAAACAGATTTTTTTTTTTTTTCAATTTATCATATAGCTGCTATACAGTTTTGTTTTATTCCGCATTTTTCTGCCACTATTTCATTGTTGTCAATTCTGTTGCAGTTCCAAGACAAAAAAAAGTTCTCTTTTTGGCATCTTTAATCTAAATGTATCTTCAGTTCTCTTCTGTTTTAAATACAATAATTCTTTATAAAAAAAATTAAAGTTTTAAAAAAAAAAAACATTTTCCTAACCGGTATAATGTTCTTCTATATAAATACTTTTGGAACCCGCATCTGCAATTTACACAAGCAAAACTTATGTATTTTGAACCGCATAATTTGTTAAAGTAGAAAATTTAAAAAAAAAAAAACTAGTATTTACTTTGTTTTCCTTATTTTTATAAGTTATTTAAACCAACCAATCAATCGAGAAAATCCTGTCAGATTTGATCCTCCTGAGAAAGTTGTCAGATTCATAACACTTACAGTTGGATTCCCATTGTTGTTCCGTAAATTTTCTAACGAATAGAATGGAACACGTATTTGCAGTCCTTCGGTGTTTGAAAAAAATGCTAAACATTCAATGTTACTGCTGTCGTTATTATCATTATTATTTATATACGATTTCTAGAATAATTATTGTTATTACTATATGCTATTTATCACGTCAGATATTCTATTGTTGCTAAAACTGTCATTAACAAATGCTTTTGTTTAATAATGCGCAAAATAATCACAGTATAATACAAGAAATGGAACTGCCAATAACAAAATTTTATGCAAGTAAAATTCACCTAAGTATCGACTACTTCTGATTACAAATGTTTCATGTGCTGTAATCAAAAAAAAAAAAAAAAAAAA